TAGTGCGCTGTGGTCTATATATATATATATATATATATACACACACACACACTCACACAGTATATTTCTGCTATCAAGTCTTCAATCTGACAACCAGGTGTTGACTTGTTGGCAAGGTTACACTGCCATTTATCTTAACTTGTCATACCAGCAAGTGACTATGCCCAGAAGCAGCGCACAGTGACATCACCTCAGTCTTCTACCTGATTGGATGGTCGACTTCTGAGTACGCAAATGACTGAAAACTGGACCATACACAACAGACATGATAAGGTGCTTTGGTATTTTTCTGCCTTTTCCTTGTGAACCTGAAGTTGCCGTGCACAAGGTGTAAGAAAACTATGTCAAATTGAACAGGAAACATTGTCGTGTGTGTGTGTGTGTGTAGTGTGCGTGTGTGTGTGTGAGTGTGTGTGTGTGTGTGTAGTGTGCGTGCGTGCCTTTGTGTGTGTGTCCATAAGCAAGGCTTACGAGGACAATGAAGAGGGCTGCGTCAGGTTTCTAGTATATATATGTGGATTAATGTGTGAAGGATGAGTAAACAGACGTGACAAAGACTTCCATTTACAGTAAACATGGATGAGGCTGTTCCGCACACATTGTGTTTGCACAGGATAGACAGTACAATTGGTTCGAACTCTCTTTTCAGGGCAGGCCAGGTGAGCTTACACAGAGGTGTTCAGGTGTAGAGGTGGACAGAGGGCCCTGCCTCTGACACCACAGTGGAAATGGAAGAGTTCCTCCTCAGAAACCAGAAATTCTTTATGCAAAATATTGTGTGTATTTCTGTTCTCTCCTGTAATCATAGCTGAGTAATAGATTGATTTGCTACAAGAATACAGGTAATTACACGGCTGCGGTCATTGGGTCCTGATATGTAGTTACATTTTTCAGGATTAAAAAAAAAAAACACTTAAAGCTTTTTCCATTCGTCCTATTAGTAAAGAGGAAAAAATAAAATAGTAGATTATCAACTTGGGCAACACAGTTTCACACACATGCAGACACAAAGTTGAAGCTTAATTATGACTGACTATTTATGAGCCATTTCTTTACCAGAAGTAAAGAAATGTTCTCGTGTTGCTTCAAGGATCCCGGGATGCTGTTTAAGACAACATCAGAGTGTAAAAATGTATTTCTGCTTATTAGTTGGACTGTTGGATGATTCACAGATAATACTAAATTGGTTATGTAAGCATGGTGCTCAGCTTTCATCAGATTCAAAGAAGAAGATGGTTAGTGCTTTTATTTTGGTGAGTATATATGGGACATGCAGCTGGTTAGATTAGATTGGCACCCAGGCTTAATTTGTAGCGTTATATTTGCTGCATATTTACCAAACTGGTCTTCTCTGGCACTGATCTTCTTATTGGGTAAGAAAGCAAATAAATATGGTTTCCAATTTTTATTTATTTATTTATTTTTTTAATTATTCCTTTAATTTCTCAAACTGCATCCACATTGTCCAAGATTCTACTCTGCTCCATCCAGGCATAGATTCTGTAAAAGCAGACCAGGATAAAAACAGAAAGTACAATTTGCCCAGGATGCATCTTATTACGCTTTACATCCTCGTCCAACTTTCTTCTTACCTCCACTCTTCAAACGTCCAATTTGCCAAGCGGTCAGCGAGTGAATGTAATCTGTGTCGCCGCTTGTTCGCTGGCACTTTGAATCGGCCAAAGAAGACCGTCAGAGGTTGAGGTAAGTGTGGCCTCGATATGAAAACAGTCGCCCTGAAACCTGAGCTGGAGACACACAAACTCACGGAGAGTTAAGAGTCGGCCTTCAGTACACTGTTCACACATTTACTCTTCTGCCGTTCTGGCACCACATAGGAAATGAGCCTAGTGACAATATTTTCATTAGATAACCAAAATCCTGAAATTTTCCACCTGAGACACAATTGGAGGTTTGTGATTCATTTACTCTCTTAACTGTTCGCTTCTCTTGCCCTGCCCATTAAAAACACACGGAGCTGGATTTGTTATTCGGGGTAATTTAAAGCAAAATTCTGACCAGCTGCCCCATAAAAGCACAGTATGACGTAAGACAGTAGCGAACAACACGGCTGCACATCCCATCCTCATTTCAACACACTGTCAGTCAGGGAGGAGCCCATTCAAACCATGCAGCACTTTTATTTTCAAATGGCTATTGTTTTGAATTTACTGTACTTGTTATTGCCATTCCCAGTTGTCATTTCTCAACATTACATTTACAGCGGACCAGTGTGACATTTTTCTTTAACAAACCAAGCCCAATTAATTGCTGCCTTGCCAGGCCAAAGACTCTCAGACATTTGCGGGTTCAGTACAGTCTAGATTTCTTCTCATGATTTCACAGGGTTCACAGGAGTTCACAGCGAGTCCCCAGAGGGAGCAGGGGGGAGCTTTTGGGTGTTTTCGTTGGGCATTTTCCATGGCGTGTGGTTAATTGTTAAGGGAGACTTTTAACCAGCGTCTGACACATATTCTTTGAGCCTCGAGGGCTTGTGCATAATCAAATAACAGACTATACCGCGGTTTTGACCATAGTGAGGGGTCAGAGCCAAACATCCAAGCATGCCCTCACAGCAGTGCGTTGCTTTGTTGTGTCAGTCAGAAGCACAAAACACTGCTGCCACTGTATGAGACATTGTTTGCATGCTACAGGTCCAACATAGATTACTGCTGCTTTATTGATTCCACAGGAGGAAACCATTGTGCTGAAACACCACAAGTTATGCGGTGCAGACATTTGGATGGAGCAGCCAGTATGTGTAATATATAAAATCCTTAAAGTAAAAATACAAGAAAGCCACAATTCCAAGGAAGGCTCAGAAGCAATCCATTACATTCCCTCCTCTCATGTCTATGGAGAAATGACCATTTGAACCTCACCATAGACATTTCTGGGACATGTAAACATATTGCTGCAACTGTTTTTTTTCCACCTCCTACCTTTGTTCCTATGCTGAGAAAAAGATGGCGTGGGGATTCACTTCTCAGCGCCCAGGGGTGCAGATAGAGCCCTGGATAGGGCTCAGTAATCCCCACCACTATTGGAGCCCATCTGTTTTGGTTTTCATTTTTCTGCATTATTAGTGCTTATTGGTACATGGTCTAGGAATGTAGCCAGGGTGTTTGAAGTCAAGGAGGAAGGTGATGCCAGGGGCATTAGCTGAAGGAATGATGACCTTAAGGTCTAACACAAGCCAGCACTCCTAACCTCCAGGAGCCTCTCCCTTGATGTTGGAATCCAAAGTGCTGCACTCGCTCCAACCTCAGACGCCAGCGCACTTTACAAATTTGCCATTTCATCTGGGAATTGAGTAATGTCACAGTCATGACATTTTATCTTATGATGATGCACAAAACAAAAAATTTTAATAATTTTTTTTGGTCATCATCAGTCAGTCAGATGAATAATAAAGTATCACACATGCTGTTTTTGGTCTTTCTAGGAGAAATATTGTTACTTCTCTGTTTTTA